TCCGTTTTAATTGAACAGGTCTAAATGGACATCTCTACAAAATTAAAGCACATCCCAATAATGAATGCAGCTATTGCTCAAATTATGAAGATCCGGAACACATTATCATGGATTGCATATATTACCAAAGAGATCGAGCAGCCAAAAAACAACAGATGTGTAACGTTAAAGTCCCTCTTACCTACCTCTCTCTGTTAATTACTGATTGTCTCTTTACAGCGATTTATAACTTCGTAATAACTAAAGACCTAAAAATTTAATACCCTCTTCTTTTTACTAATAGGGCTATTTCATTTTATCTTTGTTTCAAATGGCTGGAGTCGCCCCAGTCGAGAAGAACTAACTACGTAACCCTTTTTTGATAATCATATATTTTACAACTAATTGTATGTGTTGAGTATCCTAACGTATTTGTATTTAACAATTGTTCTTAACGCAATCAATTAATCATAAGTATCATTATATTTTCTTACAATAACATTAACTCATAAGATTATTAGTACAACACAATTAAATACAAGAAAAAAAATACTAATTTATACTTAATGATAACTAATAAAATAAATGACGAGAGGATCTAGTTCTACTAGTTGAGATTAGTGAAACTGGGGGCGTGTCATCTGCTGATGGCGCCCCCATAAATTACAAGCATAATAATAATAATAATTTTTTAATATGACTCAGAGGGGCGCTAGTCGTCCTATTTATACTTTGCCGAAAACGTGCGTGGTTTAGACTTGTTTGTTGTTAGAATTCGAGATTTGTATTGAAAGTAGGAAGAGTATGGTGCTGAATTTATGAGATATATTAATTGTTTAGCGCGTCGGTATGTGAAAATGAGGTAGCTTGAAACAAAATAATGTAGAAAGGTTAAACTTATGATTAGTATTAATTGAGTCGGGATTTTAATAAACTGATTTTAGTGATTATAACATTCAACTTGTATATAAAATATACATATATTACAACTTATAAATATAATACTAATATTAGTATTATTTATATTTATAAAATATATGTACTATAAATATAATTACACGTATTAGTTAGTTTTACTTTTTATAACAGCTTCATATTTCTAATAAGTAAAGTTAAAGTTCTTAAATCAGTTTTTAAATTATTATTTTTTACTTTAGGGAACTATGATTGATATGAACGTTACTAATAATGCGCAGTAGACTGAGAGCAGCCAGTGATAAAGTTAGTACTTTTGGTTGTACTCAGTAGTAGTAGTACTAGTAGCAAGTAAGAATTACTATTTAATACTATGACTAAAGAGTAAAGTTACTAAATGGGGCAACTTACTCAGACTTATTTAATGTTTTTGTGTAAGACTAAGAGTTTAACGTATAAACTCTAAACCCAAAAAACGAGTTATTAAGCAAACCAAATTAATAAATCATGTTACTGTTAGCAAAAATAAGATTAAGATGTACCTGTTTTTAATTTATTTTATGGGTATTAATGTTATAATTATACACTAATAATAATACAGTTAAGTTAAAGCTTAGGGTAACCTATAATTTAAAAGGGTAAAAGTAAGCTTGTTAAAGAGTGATAATAAAAAAAAAAAGAAGAAGAAGAAAATGCACATAAATGAAACATTAGATTACAGAGGTGATTAAAAAGATGTATATTTTAAAATGAAAGTTAAAAATTGTGTGCAGATGTAATACTTCACAATTGGATTTTTAAATCGTGTTAGATGCATTCTGATGCACATAGGGAAAGATAAAAGCTGTGCATAGACTAAGATACATGACAATGGGAATTTTAAGTTGGATGAAATGCACTGTGCTTTATATAGGAAGGAAAAAACTACATTTTTTTTCCATTATACCATGTCAAAAAACTCTTAAAGCTACCACAATCAGAAATGTAAGACATAAAACTGTAGACATAAAATTCCATGTGGATATACAATATCTACAAAGAATTTGGACAAAAAGGGAAAGTAAGTATTATTACTATCTTTTAATATGGTTAACATTGTATTTATACAGAATAATTTTTTATTTTACTTACAGTATTTGACATTTTGAGCTTTACTTAATATTCTGTAAATATGGAGAGACTTTGGAACATTAGATGATTCAAGTTGAAAACAAAATTGATAAATATAATAAAAAAAATAGTTAAAACCTTTTCAAAGATAACCATTGAAAAATAGTTAAATTTGGAAGAGCTAAATAAATGCAATTTTTATGAAGCTTTAAAAATGTAAATAGGATTATAGTGACTTAAGTTGAAAGGTTATAGTGTTGTCTGGAAAAAAACGGTAGATTTGTGAAAAAGATGATAAAGACTACAAGATGAACTGAAAGAAGTTTGAATATAAGATAGGACATTTAAAAAGTGGAGGCTACTATAAAAAAACTTGTGCAACTTGTTAGAAGGTACCATTAAGGTGGTAAGACATTAGTTAAAAGGCCTGTCCTCCTGAGTGATGAATGATGAATCATACCATTCAGTTGAGAGTAGTAGGCAGTGACAATGTGCAGGTGTTGATGGCATATCCCATTTCTTACCACGGACCTGATAGTTGAAGCACTCTGCCATGTCATGAATATATATGTATATATATATAATTGCAGTTTGTCCCTCAGTCTGAGACCTTCCTTCTACCTTTCATTCTCTGGATGTATATTCCCGTGAGTCTGGTGTTGGTTGGAGATGGTCCAGCTAAGTAAGTCCTCACGTGTGCTGGCCAGTATCCTTCCTCCTAATGTGGACTGTGGATGACAGATGCCTACTGCTACCAGGTTTGGACTGGAGATGCACCCCAGGTTTGGGGTCCTACTTCCTACCATCTGCTGGATGTCTGTGTTGGTTGTAGCTGGATGCACACATTTTCCCGCTTGTGCACAGCCAGGTA